ATAGATAGATAGATAGATAGATAGATAGATAGATAGATAGATAGATAGATAGATAGATAGATAGATAGATAGATAGATAGATAGATAGATAGATAGATAGATAGATAGATAGATAGATAGATAGATAGATAGATAGATAGATAGATAGATAGATAGATAGATAGATAGATAGATAGATAGATAGATAGATAGATAGATAGATAGATAGATAGATAGATAGATAGATAGATAGATAGATAGATAGATAGATAGATAGATAGATAGATAGATAGATAGATAGATAGATAGATAGATAGATAGATAGATAGATAGATAGATAGATAGATAGATAGATAGATAGATAGATAGATAGATAGATAGATAGATAGATAGATAGATAGATAGATAGATAGATAGATAGATAGATAGATAGATAGATAGATAGATAGATAGATAGATAGATATGATAGATAGATAGATAGATAGATAGATAGATAGATAGATAGATAGATAGATAGATAGATAGATAGATAGATAGATAGATAGATAGATAGATAGATAGATAGATAGATAGATAGATAGATAGATAGATAGATAGATAGATAGATAGATAGATAGATAGATAGATAGATAGATAGATAGATAGATAGATAGATAGATAGATAGATGATAGATAGATAGATAGATAGATAGATAGATAGATAGATAGATAGATAGATAGATAGATAGATAGATAGATAGATAGATAGATAGATAGATAGATAGATAGATAGATAGATAGATAGATAGATAGATAGATAGATAGATAGATAGATAGATAGATAGATAGATAGAGATAGATAGATAGATAGATAGATAGATAGATAGATAGATAGATAGATAGATAGAAGATAGATAGATAGATAGATAGATAGATAGATAGATAGATAGATAGATAGATAGATAGATAGATAGATAGATAGATAGATAGATAGATAGATAGATAGATAGATAGATAGATAGATAGATAGTAGATAGATAGATAGATAGATAGATAGATAGAAGATAGATAGATAGATAGATAGATAGATAGATAGATAGATAGATAGATAGATAGATAGATAGATAGATAGATAGATAGATAGATAGATAGATAGATAGATAGATAGATAGATAGATAGATAGATAGATAGATAGAGTAGATAGATAGATAGATAGATAGATAGATAGATAGATAGATAGATAGATAGATAGATAGATAGATAGATAGATAGATAGATAGATAGATAGATAGATAGATAGATAGATAGATAGATAGATAGATAGATAGATAGATAGATAGATAGATAGATAGATAGATAGATAGATAGATAGATAGATAGATAGATAGATAGAGATAGTAGATAGATAGATAGATAGATAGATAGATAGATAGATAGATAGATAGATAGATAGATAGATAGATAGATAGATAGATAGATAGATAGATAGATAGATAGATAGATAGATAGATAGATAGATAGATAGATAGATAGATAGATAGATGATAGAAGATAGATAGATAGATAGATAGATAGATAGATAGATAGATAGATAGATAGATAGATAGATAGATAGATAGATAGATAGATAGATAGATAGATAGATAGATAGATAGATAGAGATAGATAGATAGAGATAGATAGATAGATAGATAGATAGATAGATAGATAGATAGATAGATAGATAGATAGATAGATAGATAGATAGATAGATAGATAGATAGATAGATAGATAGATAGATAGATAGATAGATAGATAGATAGATAGATAGATAGATAGATAGATAGATAGATAGATAGATAGATAGATAGATAGATAGATAGATAGATAGATAGATAGATAGATAGATAGATAGATAGATAGATAGATAGATAGATAGATAGATAGATAGATAGATAGATAGATAGATAGATAGATAGATAGATAGATAGATAGATAGATAGATAGATAGATAGATAGATAGATAGATAGATAGATAGATAGATAGATAGATAGATAGATAGATAGAGTAGATAGATAGATAGATAGATAGATAGATAGATAGATAGAGAGATAGATAGATAGATAGATAGATAGATAGATAGATAGATAGATAGATAGATAGATAGATAGATAGATAGATAAGATAGATAGATAGAATAGATAGATAGATAGATAGATAGATAGATAGATAGATAGATAGAATAGATAGATAGATAGATAGATAGATAGATAGGGAAACAGGTTCCATGTTTACTAAAATTTAAAAATGAAACAAAGTTTAGCATGTGATATTTTTATTAAAATTTAATCACATTCCTCCAAACTGTGAATGCCTTTTTATTGCTATTTTTTTTTTTAAATGCTAAAATATATTTAAAATGTTATTTTGAAAAAAAAATATTAATTAAGAAATGTTTTTAATTTGAATCCTTTTTTAGTTAAAGTCATTGTATCTAAGCCTTTAATGGTATTGATATGCTTAATATTTTTTTCTTTATGTAAAACGTTGACTCCTTCGATATTTTATTTGTTAATCCGTGTGTGCCTAATTAAAAAAAACCCTCTAAACCATGTTCGTAATCCTGCTGTGTATTTAACAAAAAATAATTAATTTTTTTTATTTTAAACAACAACAGGTTTGTTAATGTTTTAATTATTTTGTAAATGGAATCTTTTGCATGCCTTAATTTTTACTACACTTTGATCTCTCAACTAAATCAATTAATCACAAATTTTATTAATCCTGTTTCAATTATTTGTATTTTTTTCTTTCTTTTTTTTCTGTATTCTTCTTTGCAGTCGTAAAAAGGCATCGTTGTGACTCATCACTAAATGAAAAAATAAATCTCGAATGTCTGCTCTTATCCGATACATCTGCAGAGAATGGTGTTCCTCGTCATGTTGAAACTGTTTTGCAACATTTTAATAATTTACAACTATGCCAGGCTGAGTTAGTATTTTTGTTGGTTTATATTGTGGCTTTAGAATCAGGATTTGCCTAATCTAGTAGATGATGAACAGAGCAAATTGCTTGCAGAAGGGTTAACAGCCACAAGTTCATTTCATGCAAAAAATATATTACATTTATCACGCCACAAACCCAACTACAGCTCAACAGATACTAAAACAAGATTCTCTATAAAATTGTACACTCTGTTAGATGTTCAACAAGCTTCTTATAATGATCTTTATGCTCTACTCACTGGTTTTGTTACGGGTGATCTTTTAATCGTAACTTTAACACCAGCTCCCAAAACAGGTGCCAAAGGTTTTAGTACAACTCTGTCCATGCCACGTTATGTACTCTCCATGCAAGCAAAAATAAACCTTTACATCAACGTTTTCGTAAACTGGATGAACTCTCTTATATTTTGCGTGAGAAATTATTTGTACCCATGCGCTGTCAACAACTTAACTGGTTGGAATGCTGTATTTATCCCTCTCTAGATGGCATGCCTGCAGAACTTTATGATCATATTCTGAAATATTTAAGTAAAAATCAATTAAAATATTGGCCAATGTTAATAAAACATTGTATAATTTAACTAAAGACAGTAAATTTATGCAACAAAGTTCGAATTGAAATATTTTGTAAAATTTTATTTGTATTTAGTTTTTAAGGGGTTTTTTCCAAACTTTTGGTGAAAGTTATAACAAAAATAAAAATATTTTGAAAAACTTAATAAAGAGTTGTTGTTTTCCTTTTCTAAGATTTTTTATTTTTTTTGTTTTATTTGAATTATTTCATATATTTATTTGTTTTGATTATTTTTTTTTGTTGGTTTACTTGTTCTAGATAAAACGTTTTATTTCAATTTAATTTCAGATACTCCGGACTTCCCACATCAGTTATAGGTGTAACCTTGCTGATGATACTTTAGGTAAGTGAAACAATTTCTCTCCTAAGGAATATTAAGATAATCCACATGGTCTTCTAAAGTCTCGACTATAAACTTTACTTCGCTCTACGACTAGTCTACTCTATAGTCTAGTCTATAGTCTAGTCTATAGTCTAGTATAGTCTAGTCTATAGTCTAGTCTAGTCTAGTCTATAGTCTAGTCTATAGTCTAGTTATAGTTAGTCTATAGTCTAGTCTATAGTCTAGTCTATAGTCTAGTCTATAGTCTAGTCTATATAGTCTATAGTCTAGTCTATAGTCTAGTCTTAGTCTAGTCTATAGTCTAGTCTATAGTCTAGTCTATAGTCTAGTCTATAGTCTAGTCTATAGTCTAGTCTATAGTCTAGTCTATAGTCTAGTCTATAGTCTAGTCTATAGTCTAGTCTATAGTCTAGTCTATAGTCTAGTCTATAGTCTAGTCTATAGTCTAGTCTATAGTCTAGTCTATAGTCTAGTCTATAGTCTAGTCTATAGTCTAGTCTATAGTCTAGTCTATAGTCTAGTCTATAGTCTATAGTCTAGTCTATAGTCTATAGTCTAGTCTATAGTCTATAGTCTAGTCTATAGTCTTGTCTATAGTCTTGTCTATAGTCTAGTCTATAGTCTAGTCTATAGTCTTGTCTATAGTCTAGTCTATAGTCTAGTCTATAGTCTAGTCTATAGTCTAGTCTATAGTCTAGTCTATAGTCTAGTCTATAGTCTAGTCTATAGTCTATAGTCTAGTCTATAGTCTATAGTCTATAGTCTAGTCTATAGTCTATAGTCTAGTCTATAGTCTATAGTCTAGTCTATAGTCTATAGTCTAGTCTATAGTCTAGTCTATAGTCTATAGTCTAGTCTATAGTCTAGTCTATAGTCTAGTCTATAGTCTAGTCTATAGTCTAGTCTATAGTCTAGTCTATAGTCTAGTCTATAGTCTAGTCTATAGTCTAGTCTATAGTCTAGTCTATAGTCTAGTCTATAGTCTAGTCTATAGTCTAGTCTATAGTCTAGTCTATAGTCTAGTCTATAGTCTAGTCTATAGTCTAGTCTATAGTCTAGTCTATAGTCTAGTCTATAGTCTAGTCTATAGTCTAGTCTATAGTCTAGTCTATAGTCTAGTCTATAGTCCAGTCTATAGTCTAGTCTATAGTCTAGTCTATAGTCTAGTCTATAGTCTAGTCTATAGTCTAGTCTATAGTCTAGTATAGTCTAGTCTATAGTCTAGTCTATAGTCTAGTCTATAGTCTAGTCTATAGTCTAGTCTATAGTCTAGTCTATAGTCTAGTCTATAGTCTAGTCTATAGTCTAGTCTATAGTCTAGTCTAGTCTAGTCTATAGTCTAGTCTATAGTCTAGTCTATAGTCTAGTCTATAGTCTAGTATGTCTCTAGTCTATAGTCTAGTCTATAGTCTAGTCTATAGTCTAGTCTATAGTCTAGTCTATAGTCTAGTCTATAGTCTAGTCTATAGTCTAGTCTATAGTCTAGTCTATAGTCTAGTCTATAGTCTAGTCTATAGTCTAGTCTATAGTCTAGTCTATAGTCTAGTCTTTAGTCTAGTCTATAGTCTAGTCTATAGCCTAGTCTATAGCCTAGTTTATAGTCTAGTCTATAGTCTAGTCTATAGTCTAGTCTATAGTCTAGTCTATAGTCTAGTCTATAGTCTAGTCTATAGTCCAGTCTATAGTCTAGTCTATAGTCTAGTCTATAGTCTAGTCTATAGTCTAGTCTATAGTCTAGTCTATAGTCGAGTCTATAGTCTAGTCTATAGTCTAGTCTATAGTCTAGTCTATAGTCTAGTCTATAGTCTAGTCTATAGTCTAGTCTATAGTCTAGTCTAGTCTATAGTCTAGTCTATAGTCTAGTCTATAGTCTAGTCTATAGTCTAGTCTATAGTCTAGTCTATAGTCTAGTCTATAGTCTACTATAGTCTAGTCTAGACTATAGACTACACTATACTACTAGACTAGACTATAGTCCTTACTTAGACTAGACTATAGTCTTGACCATAGATTAGATTATATTCTCGACTACAGACCAGATTATAGTCTTGACTATGGACCGGATTATAGTCTTGAATACAGACCAGACTTTTGTCTTGACTATAGACCAGACTATAGTCTTGACTATAGACCAGACTATAGTCTGACTATAGACCAGACTATAGTCTTGACTATAGACCAGACTATAGTCTTGACTATAGACCAGACTATAGTCTTGACTATAGACCAGACTATAGTCTTGACTATAGACCAGAATATAGTCTTGACTATAGACCAGACTATAGTCTTGACTATAGACCCAGACTATAGTCTTGACTATAGACCAGACTATAGTCTTGACTATAGAACAGACAATAGCCTTAATTATAGAACCGACAATAGTCTTGACTATAGACCAGACAATAGTCTTGACTATTGACCTGACAATAGTCCTGATTATAGACAAGACTAGAGTCTTGACTGTAGACAAGATTATAATCTTGATTGTAAAATTCGATTTTTACTTAAAAAAATTAAAAAATATTACTTTATGTCATTAAGTTTTTTATAACATGCTTTAAACTTATAATTATTGTATTGTTTTTTACGAATTCTTAAATTTTAACGTAATTTTTAATTCTATATAATCTCCTCGATAAGATAATATACTTTTGAAAAGAAATCTACCTATAAAAAATGCGATAAAAGAAATTATTAAAATTCGAGTATTTTGTAATATTTAATTATAAAATAGTTAAGTATTAGATTTCGTAGTGAAAATAATTTATTTTTAGAACTATGATAGGATAGGAAGCATGTTTAACATAACAAAAGTTGACAAATTATTGAAAATATTCGCTCGCGAATATAATAACAAATGTTCTAATATCTTCCAAGCTCATCCTAATTCCACTCATTACTCTTGTTATTTACAGGGTTAATATTTCTAATATTTTGTGTAAAAATTACTTGCATTTTCCTTGTTTTATTCTTATGCCGTGTACCAATGTGTAAATATTCCTTTTTGAAGGTGGGTGGTTAGTTGGTTCTTATGTGGGGGTATAGCTTCTTCTATTTGCAAAAAAAATAAAAAAGGAAAAACGTTGTGTAAATAATACTTACTTCTATTTCCAAGTCAATTCGTGGCTGTTTTGGCATGTTGTGAATTTTGCTGTGAACCTATTCAATGTTTGTTTAGTGATATCATTTAATATTGGAAAAAATAATATTGATAATAAATATTTGCGTTATAAACTCTGAATGACTGACTTTTTTCTTATCACCATTTAAAAAACAACAATAATTGTAAGAAAATAATGTATTACGATTACTACAGACATACATATATTTATAAACTTACAAAAACATATATAAGCCAATGGACTTCTACTATTATTAGTAAAATTACGGCAATAAATTTTAAAAAGTAACATTTTCTAAGAAAAACTCCAATAGTAAGGACAACCTAAGATGTACTCTAAAATTTTAACTAATAACATTTTCTAACTACATACTACTTATATATAAAATGCGCCAAATATTTTTAACACCAACATATTCTTTATATTACTTCTATGAGTTCCTTACCAAAGTCCCATCTAGGTTTGTCTAGAAGTGTTTTTTTTTCAGGCAAATAGCATCCTTAAAAAGCTTTTCAATAGTAAAAGCTTAATATTTACACTAAAAGGATTTGATTGAGTAAAGTGATACATTAAAAGTACTCTTCTTCACAATTTTAAACACCAGAGAGTTAGTTCTATTTCTCAATACTCTCTCGCTCTCCTGGCTTATAATTCATATTTAGTGTAGTTGTTTTTACTACTAAAGTTCGATTCTTATAGCAAAAAATATCCTTACTTAATGCCCGTGTGTATAGTTAAGTTCGTTCACTTATTTGGGTGTGTGTGTAAGTTTGAATGTATGTCAGTATATGTGAATATTAATACGTATTGAAATGCAAGTAAAAGTCTTTTTATATGACACATCCGTGTTGTGCAAAAAATACATATAGCAAAAATAAATGGTACCAAAAATTTAAATTTTCCAAAATATTTATTTATTCTATAGTCTAAATATAAACTCGACTAAAATTTAGTCAATTTAGACAATAATGTTTCACTGTGGTCTAGTCTGTAGTCTTGACTATAGTCTATTCTATAGTATGGTCCATTCTATAGTCTACTCTATAATAGACTATAATCTAGTTTATAGTCTAGTCTATAGTCTAGTCTATAGTCTAGTCTATAGTCTAGTCTATAGTCTAGTCTATAGTCTAGTCTATAGTCTAGTCTATAGTCTAGTCTATAGTCTAGTATATAGTCTATCTAGTCTATAGTCTAGTCTATAGTCTAGTCTATAGTCTAGTCTATAGTCTAGTCTATAGTCTAGTCTATAGTCTAGTCTATAGTCTAGTCTATAGTCTAGTCTATAGTCTAGTCTATAGTCTAGTCTATAGTCTAGTCTATAGTCTAGTCTATAGTCTAGTCTATAGTCTAGTCTATAGTCTAGTCTATAGTCTAGTCTATAGTCTAGTCTATAGTCTAGTCTATAGTCTAGTCTATAGTCTAGTCTATAGTCTAGTCTATAGTCTAGTCTATAGTCTAGTCTATAGTCTAGTCTATAGTCTAGTCTATAGTCTAGTCTATAGTCT